TCCCCCCCCACATCGACGACCCAAGCATTCCGAAGGTTTTTGCCAGGCGCTGGGGGAACGAATAATGGCATAGACATTAAAACTCGGAGGTCCGTGCGGATTTCTCAGATCGGCGCTGGGGCCCCCTGGCGGCGCCTCCGGCGCCGCCCCTGGCGCGCTCCGCGCGCCAGGGAGGGGGGCCAGCGCCGATCCGAGAAATCCGTGCGGACCTCCGAGTTTTATGTTTATGTAATTTCGTTCCCCAAGCGCATCCTCCGACGCCCAAGAGATGGCGGAACCCCCAGGGAGTCCATCCTCCTTCCAAAATCCAAGACATCACGTCGGGAGATCTCTTCCAGGCAGCATACGGCAAGCAGTCAGGTCCTGGCGAGCTGTGAGGCTGACGCCTGAGCACTGGCCAGGCTCTCCGCCAACGCCCACATCTTGTGGCACCCAGCACGGAGATGCAGTCATATTGCGCCGTCGCGAAGAGGACCCCTGAGAGTCACTCCAAGAAGCCATCATATGCATCCAAAAGGCTCTGCCACAGAGCTCCACAGCCAGCCCCACGACGAGCCCACCAGAAGCCGGTAGCCCACCGGATGCCCTGGACGTCTCTCGACTCCGCTGGGAAGTCGGCGGAATGGCGTAAGCCGCTTGAACAAGGAGCGAAGCGGCTTGTTCTAGTTCGGGGTTGTCCCCCTACAGGCGGATCTCGGACAAAAATCAACAATAGGCAGAAATATTCAAAAATGATCAAAGATATTCGAAAATCGTCCCCTGACTATTTTTGTTGACATATTTGAATTTTCCTCCTGTAGAGGGACAGGCCCGACTTAAGGCTTGTTCTGGCCACGGTGCGCCTCGGCCACGAACACGGTCCCGACCTGGGTCCGAGGAGCAGTCCGACGACCACAGCCCCTCATGAAATCCAAAGGCTAAATCACAGCAGCCCTCCGGGCGCAGGTGCGCGAGGCGGGAAGTTATCCATATCCACCGCCTGGGAATCGACGTCCTGGTGCCCCAGCGGGTGGCGGATATGGATAGTCCATATCCACCGCCTGACGAGATCCCCGAACTTGATCCTCCAGGCGGTGGTCGTGTATAAATTCCAGCCTCGGAAGGTGGCCTAAGAAATTTGTCTTTCCTCTTCAAAAACGAAACCCCTCGTTACATCGGAGAGCTGTGAGGTTTTTGTTCAGGGTTGGGGGTGCCGCTATGTGTCAGGGGGTCCTTTTCCGCCCAAGATGGCTTCAAGAGGGCCCCCGCTGCTCCAAGATGTCCCCCAAGATGGCTGAAGATAGCCGAAGGCGGTTGAAGATGGCTTTCGACATGTCGCCAGGAGGCTCCAAGAAGGCAACAAGACGGCTCTAAGTGCTCTCAGAACCTGCTTCAAAAACCGATGAAGATCAACGCCGACCCACCCCGGACTGCTAGCTGCACGCCGGTGCCCTTCCTGGCCTTGGCCGTCTTGCTCCGCAACTCGTCATCCGTATAGGCCACCCCGGCCGAACTTACGGCAGGTTCACGTCGTGTCGACCCCAGCGTTGGTTCCTGACACCGCGGAGATCGTTCAACCTCGAACGATCGGCCTTTTCCGAAGCCTCCGATCGCTCAACATCGACCGATTCTGGGTCGCCGGCGGCGTTCAACGCTGAACGCCTGCGGCAGGGTCGCCGCCGGACGACACGACGCGAACCTGCCGTGCACTGCCATCGGCCGTCGCATGGTGGGGCGGGCAATCCGCGAGGGAGGGAGAAGCGTGTGCCTTTCGTGTACTTCCGGGGCCCCATGGGGGGCCCCATGCAGGGCTCCGCTCCTGCAGCCTTCTTTGCACCCCCTCTTCCCCCCTGCTATCGTTCTGTCGGGCATGTCCTCCTACAGGCTGATTTCGCAACACAAATACAAAACAGTCAAAACATGCCTGCTGCATGACAAGGAGACCACGAAGCATCGTCACCAGACTGCGTTTGGACTATTATTGAATACTCTTCCTGTAGAGGGACATGCCCAACTTAATTCTATCGCCCTCCATTGCGAGACCCCCGACCGCCACCCATCTGTTGGCCTCCAGGCCCTCTGAGAACAAGCGCGCTCCGCCATAGGGCGCCGACTTGTCGCCGGGGCACAGCTTCTGCAGGTCGTCCCGGCAGGAGAGCGGGGCCTGCCAAGCGCCAGCACTGGCCTCAGCAGACAACGGGAGGCCAAATGGTGTGTTGCAGCACTGTCCACACAGCGTTACGTGGTGTGCAGCTGCTCCAGCAAATGGGTGGCGTTTCAGCCCTGGCCTCCCTGACCAATTGGACGGGAGGCCCAAACCAAGGGTGCAAACGAAGAACGGTATTCAACCTTTTCGGACGCAGCATGCATACGTAAAGGTGAAAACGGCAATTGAAGCACAACGCAGAATAACCAGATGAGTATCCATACGGGAAAGGAGCGGCCTAAGATGATGAATGAGGATGAGATGGAATACAAGACCAGATCTCAAGGACTAATTGTTGCGCAACTGTGTGGTGAACCTCCTCATAATAGCTGGCTTCCGAACGGGGAATTTGATCGGTTGCTGCTGCCCCACGAAAGCAAACACGTTCCCAAGCAGGCGGAGCTCGGTACGAGAGCTCAATGGTGACTCGCACACCCCAGTTGGCAACCAGCACGATGGAACGATTGATTTGCTAGAGACTGATTAGGCATCGCGCACAAATCGCAGCCAAGGCAAGCTTTCCGTAGTTTGGCCTGGCCGCTTCCTGGCCAGGGGACGCTCACAACGTTTCTGCTTGCAGCGCTTGCGGTCACGAGCGCGTCTGTGAGCCGGCGGGGCGCGGCGAGCTAGGAGCATACTGAAAAGTTGAGGGCGGCCGCGGAGGAGGGAAACAAGGGAGAGGCCTGTGACGTGGAGAGCCTACGCTTAGGTCGGGCATGTCACGGCATGTCCTCCTACGGGCGGATTTTGGGAGCAACATGACAAATCATGAACACTTGTTTTCTGCAAAAAAACTATCATAGTTCTAACATCGTTCCCATACTAGTTTAAAACTATGTTTGAATACTCCTCTTGTAGAGGGACATGCCCGACTTAAGTCTGAGAAGATGGGGTCCAAAGGCCCCGCGCACACCACTCGCACAGGGAGCCCGGGAGCTGCGAGAGAGAGGTCTTCGGACGCCCAAGAGAAGTGGACACAACTCGCCAGAGCCCTCGGTCCTGCTTGCGGATGGCGGGCAGCATCTCGCTCTGGAACTCCCTCCCGAGGCCCTGCGGATGGGGAGGAAGGGTGTCGAGGAAAATACCGTCGAAGAGGCCGAAATGGAGAGGAGAAGGAGGAGGAGGAGGAGGAGGAGGAGGAGGAGGAGGAGGAGGAGGAGGAGGAGGAGGAGGAGAGGGAGGAGGAGGAGAGGGAGGAGGGGGGATGAGGAGGAGTAAGAGGAGGAGGAGGAGGAGGAGGAGGAGGAGGAGGAGGAGGAGGAGGAGGAGGAGGAGGAGGAGGAGGAGGACGAAGAGTGGGAGGGGGGCGCGGTCCAGGGTGAGGAGTTCGGGGGCGTTAGGGTCGAGGAGGGTGGGAGGGGCGGGAGTGAAGGAGAAGCGGAGGAGAGGTGGAGCCAGCAAGGGGATGAGCCCTCTGCTCCCCCGCGAGATCGGGAGAGGTTTCCCTCGTTCTCCGCGCGTTCCTTTGCCTGCTCGAGGTCGAGCGGAGAGGTCATCTTCACATGCCTGCTTACTATCATCCCCTAGTATCGTCTTTCTCCTCCTCATCGTCTGGGACGGGCCCAGGAGGTGATAGGACGAGAGGGCAAAACGACGGGGATATCGACGAAAGCTTGACGAGAGGCGGCGAGCAGGTCCATGGATAATGATCAGATTGATAGCGGCGCCTGGTATGCTGAAGTTTGACAACTGGACAGGTTGCGACGAATAACCATGCTGGCGCCTGGCTAAGCAAACGTGGAGACATAAATTTGAGCGCGCTTCTTCCCACCCGTGCTGATCGCATCGCGGCACATCGCACTGTTGATATCAACTCTGGGTGCCAGGGACGGACGAGGCCTATAGGTACGAGTCCCAATTAAACCACACTGGCCGCGCACTAAAACCAGCCGTTGCGGCAGAGACTAAGTCTGCGGGACAGGCCCACCCAAACAGACGTAGGGCTTCGAGCCCCGCGGATACTGCCAATACATCAGGGTTGCTAGAGGGCTCACATCCTAGAGCTCTGAACTGGACGCTGGTCATCGGGAGTTCGGCCGGATGCCCCTGCACCCGACACTCTCATGCACTCCCGCTCCCTTCCCACGCGCGCCCTCGTTCCCATATCCTCCATGCCCCCCTCTCCTCCTGGTTGCTGGTATGTGATGGCATCGATGTCCTTCAGACGTTGCCGCCCTTCCTGCTCCTCGTCCTCGCTATCCTCCTCATTATCCTCCTCTTCCCTCTTCTTCTTCTTCTTCTTCTTCTTGATCTCCTCCTCCTGCTCCTGCTCCTGCTCCTGCTCCTGCTCCTGCTCCTCCTCCTCCTCCTCCTCCTCCTCCTCCACCTCCTCCTCCTCCTCCTCCTCCTCCTCCTCCTCCTCCTCCTCCTCCTCCTCTATTGGGGAGAAGAGGCCCCGCGGAACAGGATGGGGGGAGAAGGATACACATAACCTCATTGTCCTAACCTCGGAGGACAAAATTATATAAACATATCTGAGGCGGCAGCGTGGCGCGGGCAGCGCGTGGCGCGTGGGGGGCCCCGTAGGGGCCCGCGTTGAAGGGCCCTCCTACCTTTTGGGTCCCCCGGCCTCGCGGGGCTGGTGCCCATGGAGCGCCGCAGGGCCCCCGTCCGCAGAGGTGCCCTCGCCCGTCCAGGGGGAGCTGGAGGCGCGGAGCGGGGAAATATAAAGCGGAGGAGACGGCAATGGGCGTGGCGTGGCGGAGAAGCAGGAGCATGTTCAGCCTCAGGGCTGTGGTTGCAGACCCACGCGGTGGTCGCGTCGCCAACGGAAAGGAAAAAGGACGGCGGCGGCAGGGAAAGGCCGAGTGGAAGCGAACTTAAGTGGGGGAGAGTTGCGGTGGCGGGCGGCGGCGGCTGCGGTAGAAGATCCCGCGGGACCCCCGTTGGAGTGCCGCTTGCAGCGGACAGGAACGCAACGACCTCTCCCTCTGCCCAGAAGAACCCCCCACAGGCGTCCAAGAGGCCGACGGCGGGATCCCTCGCCTGCACGCAGGACAAGCACAGGGCTCCCAGCACGTCGGCCTCTGGGCCGCCTTTGGGGTTTCCACCGAGCGCGACGGAAGTTTGGGCCCAACCCCAATGGTAGCAAGGCGCAGCGCCGGCCACTCTCGCCTGGGCGGCGGCGCAACTGTGCGGTGTGTGTGTGTGTGTGTGGTTTGCCGTATGGGTAAGCGGTTGGCGGCCGCAGCTGTTTTGAGCAGACCTAGTTGGTGCCCTGATGGCTGCAGATGGCCGCTGATGTTGCCCTGATGGCCGCGGAGGTGGGGTGAAGGTGGAAGTGGAGGTGCTCCGATGGCCGATGCCTAATGGCTTGTTGCGGCCGCGGCCGCGGCCGCCCTGGCCCTTGCCAGGACGGCCCGCGGCGAGTCCGAGCCCCCTCCCTCCCCTATATGACGCGACCCGTGCCCCGCCACAAGAGGGGGGTGAAGATAATGGTGGCTGGGCACGGCGGGGGGAGATGCGGCCGCGAGCAGAAGAGGCAGGAGGTAGGGCGAGGTTGCAGGTTGGTGAGGAAATGCGGCTCATGCACAATCAACTCAGCATGATCGCGGTCGCCACTGGGGTCCACGATGTGCTGCCGGCGCAACCGATGTTCGCGCCGCAGAGCACTGCCGCGTCACGCTGTCAAACTGCCGAAAAAAGGTGGACTCCCGCACCGGCAACTGTGCTGCGGCCATCTATACGGTGAAAACGTGCACGTCGGTTTCGGGATAGTGTAGAGGTGGGAGTGGGTGCGTAGCAGCTGGTGGTTCTGTCTGCAAAAGCAAATGCATTGCGCGGGAAGAAGCGCGCTGATCGGCCGCGGCTAGGCCGGTCCCATCGCGAGAAGTTCCTCGCGTTGTGGGAGATCAGGGGGGAGTCGCCTGATTTGCCGTTGGGTGGTCGCGCTGGTAAGGCGTCTGAGCAGGTCGGCCATGGCTTCCACGGGTCGGGCCCGCAGAGTGGGAAGGCCTCCTGGTCCGTCTGGCGCTGGTAACCGGTTTCCACGGGTCTGGCCCGTCGACTAGGAGGGCGCCCTTGTCCGCCTCCTGCTGGTCGCCAAGGCGGATACTACATCGGTGGTCTGTCTGAGGGCAGCGTCGTTGCGGGCTTGCTCTCGCCGGTTTTGGGAGCGCCCCTTTTCGGTGCATTGGTGCGCGACCAGGTTGCGGATCGTTGTAGCCATGCAGCTGTCGCCGATGGGGTGCCGCTGCATCTGGCGCGGTGCTTGGTTGTCGGCGGCGCTGCTGGCGGCCGTTCGGCCCGTCGGGTCTGCGGTCGCTGTGGCCTGCAACGAGCTGGCCTCGTGTGTCTGCTCAACTGCACTCAGTCCTGAAGTCGATGACTCTTGGCCCAGGTGTCCGAATCGTCGCGGCACGGTCCAGATGTCCGGGTCGGTTGGCGGCAGTAAGTCCCATATATTTCGTAAGTCTGGCGTCGGCTTCTGGCCGCGGTGATTCTGCGCCTCGCCCCATGGCGGGGGGGTCTGGCTGGTGATGAGCTGGGCCATCTTGACCATTGCCTCTCTGCGACTTCCACGCGCAGGTCAGCGACGAAGAACGGTGTCGGCACGCGCGCGGAGGCGCGCCGCATTGATATCGCGATGCCCGTGGGGAAATTTCTCTAATGATGTGGCGCCGCCGCTTGCTCGCGCACGTCGTCGCGGCTGCGGCTGCAGCCGGCTCTTGGGGCGGGCCGGGTAGGCCAGCATGTTGCCCAAGCGATGATTTGCGTCGTTTGCCAAGTCCCTTTGTCGCTGGTTCGCGTAAAAAGGGCGCGCGTCTTGCAGGTCGCGGGGCCCGCAGTAGCTTCTGAGTGAGCCTTTCACGTTGGCCGGGATCTGGTCGTGCTTGACGCGGAGGTCGTCGACCTTCGCATCTCTGTCGGCCTCTGTTGGGTCGGTGGGATGGCTTCGCGGGCGTGGATCCTGGGCATCGGGTTTGGCGCTCGTAGGGGTCGTTGCTGATTGCGACGGTCAGGCGCTCGATGATGTCGTGAATGCGGTCCTTGATCCGCACCCCTGCTGTCACGCCTTGTGGCGGTGGTGGAGGTATCGCCTTGCAAGCTCAATGGCTGCGCCTTGCGCGCGCTCAACGTCGTCGTCGTCGTCGTCGACTTTCGGGGTCGTTGTGGCTCGGCCCATCGCGGTCTGGATCGCGTCTGTCCCCTCTGTCTCCTTCTCTCGCGGCGTCGCGTCGTCGGCAGTGGCTTTCTAGGCGCGCCCTGCCAGAGCCCGAGCGCACTCGGTCGCTTGCCCTCGCTGCCGCGCGCCGCCTCAGCAACGGCGCGCTGCGCGACAGGGGGCGGCGCGGAATCACCGATGGAACTTTGTGGCGAAGCAGGATGCGCGGCGTAGCGTCTGCTGGCGCTGGCGTCGTTCTCGCGGGCCCCATTGGTGCCTTGCAGCGATTCGGCCGGGCTCGCGGGTTGCGGCTGGACCGACCCATCGCGGCTGGAGGCGGGGGCCCCGCGGGTCGGGGCGGCCAGCGGGTCGGGCAGTAGCGTCGCCACAGTCGCGTTTGGTCCGATGTTTGAGTCCGCCGCGACCATGCTCGCACGCGTTGCGTAGATCTCTGCGATGATCATGAGCGCCCCTTGCTGGGTGCCGAGATTGTCGCATTGACCTGCAAGTAGCAGCCGCGCGTGGAAGCGGGCGTCGGCGTCGAAGAGCTTCGCGTCGGTTACATCTGTCTGTCATGAAGCCAACTGCTCGTTTAAGTCGGTCCACGTGGTTCTCGAAGTCGACGTCGTCGCGGTACCTTGCGATGGCGGCGTCGAGGGAAGCGTCGTCGATCGCAATGCACCGAGCCTGCGGCGATGGCGACCGCTGCTTCGGAGGGGCGGGAGGCGTCGGCGGCGGCGGCTGCGTCCCAATTGGGGCGGCCATCGGCGGGCAATGGAAACGTAAAACATCCCACGTAGTCTGATGATAATGCCCGTCTTCTGGCCTGCTTACACGAGCGCGTTGCCTAGGTCCGCCCACGTCGCTTGCATGGTGCCCGGGTTGTAAATGGACGCTTGGTTTTCCAGGCGCCGTCGTTGCCCTCGTGCCAGCAGGGAACCCAAAGTTTGGGAAACCTCAATCGACGGCCAGGCGCGAACGGTGGCACTTCGGGAACTCCTGCGCGTCGGACTGCCTCGCCGGGAGCAGACGGGCCCCAGGTCAGGTAGTCCGGCGGAAAGAGTGGAGGTGGCGGCTCGGTCGGCGACGGGGGCTGGGCCCTGCGCGGGGCGTGCGAGGTCGGGTTAGCGGTGATCGCCCTGTTGTTCGCCCCTGGTTTGGATGGCGCCATTTGCTCACGTCTCGGCCTTTCATGTCTTGAGATCTGAGCGTCGTTCTGACGATGGCGCTTGTTGGGACGCGCTGCGCGAGCCCGTTTAACTGAAGCTCGGCCTCGTAATTGTCCTCGTGGATTTCGTAGTGGGATGTCCTCAGTCTCTCCAGCAGTCGGCCGCAGGTCCGCTGGAACGTGCGCCATGAGATTGTGGATGGCCCTCCGTATTGTCTGCATGCGGCCGAAGACGGTGATGCAGATCGTTTCGACCCGTGGGGCTGGTCGCGGTCGTGGCAGTCTCTCAATCCTGATTGCCCCCCACCTTTGCAAGCTGATTGGTTGGGACGTGGTAGCCGTGGATCCCATCGTCGCAGGCGGCGTCAGCCGGCGCGTGGCATGCTGCCCCCTCGAAGATAGGCCACTTCGGGTTGCCGTTCGAGGGTGGGCCGATGTGTATTTCGCACCTTTCCTGGATATCGTGATAGTGGTTGACAGGCACCCTGTAGACCGCACTGTAGTTCTGCCAGTAGCGAAGTTCCTTGCCTGCGACCTCATCCAATTGTACCAGGTCGCCGTTGGGATCCCCTTCCTTCGCATGAAGGCCTGCCCGAGTCAGAGGCGCCATGTGGAAGCAGCTCTGGTAGAAAATCAAGTTGTCGGCGCGAGGGTGCATGCCCTTGGCTCCCATGGTAGCGAGCATGTCGGTCAGGTAAGGCAGCGAGGGCACGGCCTCGCTCTGGTCCACAACGGTGCCGAGCCGATCCCTTGCGTGGAAGGCTACAATGTTTCACGGGTCCGTGAATGGAAAGATTTATGCTCGAAATCCTGGAAGCCAGCTCTCTTCTGTACTTGTGCGGACAGTACCCCGTGAATCTGGTCGACGTTTTCCATTTCAGCTCCTCGTGGGCCCAGCTGCAGGGGGGACGAAAGAAATGAGGCTTTTCTCGGTCATATCCTTTGCCCTTTCCCACAGTAGCGCTGCGATCAGTGTTCGTCCATACGTACATTCGTGGCCGTCCCCCCTGGTGGGCACCCACGCTGCTGTCCTGGAGCGTGGTATGTGTCTCGGTCTAGCCGTACAATGCAGGTCCATATGGTTGATGTCGGGGATGATGCGGTTCCTGCTGAAGAACTCCCGTACCGTGATGTCGGCCTTGTCTTCGATGGCGTGTTTCCACACCTGGTTGGCAGCGGCCAGGTCGGCGAGCGTGCAATGGTGCGGGCACAGGGTCTTCATCCATCCCCGCGGGGCGTTTGTTTGCGTGTATACCTGTCCGACCTCCAGTGACGCAAACGTGTACCATGTGGTCAAAATCTCGGAGTCTATACCGTCTTGTGCCCAGTCGGGTACCCGTCCGGGGTGCGCCTCCGCGGCCGCGTTCGCGGGGCGGCGACCTGCCGCGGCGCGCCGCCGGGTGCGCGCCCGCTGAGCAAGCAGGCGTGTGGCCGCAGAGCTGCCCCGAAGTCAATTTCAGCACCTCGACCGGCAAGCCGAACTCGAGGAGGACCCCGTCCCAGGACAAGGTGTTCGTCCAGAGCTGTTGTCTGTGTGACGGTGCAAAAGCTCCACGCTGCATGGTCGATGTATTCGCATGCAGAGAAATGGGCGACATGTTCGCAAGTTGGGTGAAGTGATGGTCGCAGCCTAAGCTCTCGAGCACGGCCTTGCACTCCGCGCGGCCTTGGAGACACCAAGGCGAGCGGCCTGGGAGACATCTGGATTGGGGCGGAAACCTTCGGCCGAGCTCGAGAAGGACTGAGTAGGAGGCAAGGCTCGACCTAAGAAACAGTGTTTCTCCTTTCCGGCTCATTGTAGTTGTCCATCGTTATGTCTTCGTCCCGCCTCTCCTTCAAAACGAAGCCGAAACGAAAACGGCCCACAAGATCTCCCAAAACACCGTTTCGGTCGAGCCCTGGCCGGAGATGTGCCCCCCACCCATCGCTCCTCCGCGCGCTCTCGCAGAGCACCACCCCCCAAAGCGGGGACTCTCCGCTCAAGGAGGGGGACAGAGCGTCGGAGAGAGCGCGGGTCTCCTCGCGCACGGCGCCGAAGATGCGGGCACGGGTGGAAGAAGAGCGGTCGTAACAGGCGGCTGCAGCTCAAGCATTCCATAATCTTGACCCTGTTCAGCTCGTCTGGCCGCCTCGGGTAAGCCGTTCAGGAAGTACAGCGGCTCGTCGGAACCATAACGCAACTTGCAGCCTGTCTTAGTCAACGTCGGCCCCGCTCGTGCGGAAACTGCTTCTGGTAGCGATACAGGACGAAAGGCTCAGTCTCAGGGGTGGGGGAGGAAGGCGGAAAAGACTAGGGAAAAAGAGGCGAGCGAGCGAGCGAACGGGCGGGCCACCGATGCGGAACATCCCCTGGGCCTATCCAAGGCGAGACGGGCGAGGCCGTGGCAGCTGGAAGGCGAGGGCGGGTGTAGAGAGGAGGGAGGAGGAGGAGGAGGAGGAGGAGGAGGAGGAGGAGGAGGAGGAGGAGGAGGAGGAGGAGGAGGAGGGAGGAGACGGAAGGAAAGAGGAGGGAGGGGAGAGGAGAGACCGGGGAGGAGGGGAGGAGGCAGAGGAGGAGAGAGGAGCAGGACGAGGAGGAGAACGGCACGACTGTCCTGCAACATGTCCAGAACGTGCGGGTCCGGAGCGCCGCCAAATGGCGAGTCGAACTCGACCACGGTGCCGTCCGGAGACTCGACCTCTGAGACCTGTCGGCCGAGGGGAGGCACTGCAGGGAAACGCAGTCTCCACTGCAGTCTGGCTTCCCTGCGTAACATGTCGCCGCGCCGTTTGTTCTCGACGCGCTCATGTGGACGACGCCGACACCACGGCAAACCCACGGCAAACCTTGCGTCCCGCGCCCGCGATAGACGAGGCCGGCCCCGCGGCTCACCCCGCGGCAAACCAACCGCGTCCGACGCGGAGAGCGTCCTGGTGGCCGAGGCGCCCTTCCCATGGCGCAAGGCCGCGCGTCGGAACAAACGGCGCGGCGACACACAGTGTACATGGAACAGCTATTTGAAGTAAAGCTTGTGGATTCGCAAGTCGCATGTTGTCGAAATGCAACACATTCTTATCACCATGCGCAAAAAAACATTACAGCGGTCGCGGATGGCACCGTAGCGTCAACCATGGCTGCTGAATCACAAGTGCGCTCACACGATGTGGATTTAGCTGGACCATGATGTCTTACTACTGATACATACCAGCGGCAAACTGGGGGCGTGCTAAAAGGACTTGATAACAAATGCTTTCACGACACCCCACCCCGATCAGATCGTTTTTGAAAACCGACCCCTAGATTGGCTCAAGCTACAGCAAAGCAGCCCAACACCCAAAGACGGCCCGACGAACCTTCAAAAACTCGAAAGTACCCCGACGTAGAAACCTCCAGCGAGGCTATGAGAGGCGAACGGAACAAATATAATATCAAGACGTTACGTTGCCGAGGCATCCGGGCGTCATATCGATTCTGGACAAGTTCCCGAGCCCTGACGTCCATGCAAGCCTCCAGTCTCCTGAGATCTGTCTGGGGACCTCTAAAAGCCTCCAGAAACACGGAATGATCGAGGACGCCCACAACCAGCGATCCTCGAATCACCACTCCCTTCCACAATCCGCTCAAACCCAATATACGGATACCCTGTCCGAAATCCGTCTTGGCCAATGATTTCGAATTGCCTCCAGCCGTGGCGACGAGCCAGAGACGCGTGAAAACGTTCAAAACGTCGACCTCGACGACCCTCGAACCACAATCCTTCGATCCTCGGACGCAGCCAGGAGGGCGCAGGCGGCAGTGATCTGATATCGCTCTCCAGAAACCAAAAAACCCGATGGACTGGGTGTCCCCGAATCCTGAGGATGGTCCATTGATGTTAGTTGGATGCCTCCGCCCCCTCACCCACTCCTGCCGCCCTCCCCGACCCATACCCAGACTCTTCTTACACTCAGACCATCTCACACTCAGAGCCGTTCATAAACGCACCCGCTCCTGATCATACCCACGCGTAATCGGATCTACACATGCTCAGACTTGCAGGCTCACTGATTCACAAAGTTACTCTGCTGATCGCCGGGCGTCGGCAGCAGCCACAATCTGAGCGTTCTCTCTCTCCCTCTCTCTCCCTCCTGTTGGCCCCGAGCAGGCCCCGACGCGGCGGGCGGCCCAGCTTCCTTGAGCCTCGATGCCTCCGAAGGCAGGACATTCAAAGATGTTCCTGCACGGGCTGCCTCGGAGCTTCGCCCGTGCCGACCGCCCACACTCGGCCTCGCTTGCGGCCGTAAGCTTTGCCGCCCTCGGACTTCGCCTCCCTCGTCTCCGCGTCGATGCGGCCGACCTGCTCAAACTCATCCTCGATGATCTCGCAGACCGACGTCGCGCCGAACTGCTCGGCCAGCACCCTCAGAAACTTCACGCGCCAGCCTGGATGCCCAACGAACTCGGTAGCGCCGCGCATCACGATCGACTTGATCGTCTCATGGTGGCCCCCCTCCGCCGGTACACTCGCGAAGATCTTGGACTCGGCACCCTGGCTGCCTTCGCCCTGCTCCTCCTGCTTGGCGCAGCTGCTCACGGGGATTTCCGGGGGCGCGTCTAGCAGCCTCTGCGCCCAGCGCCGCCGCCAGCAGCCCCGACCGACCTGCAACCGCGAAGTGCGCGCTCGCCTTCTGCAGCTGCTCTGGGTTCTCCAACGCCTCCTCCGCGTGGGCGGCGGGCCCCGGCGCCCGCGCGTTCCCGGCGTCGATGCAGAGCGTCAGTGTCAACGGGCCCCGCGCCAGGAGAGCCGCCGACTTCTCGCTCTTCACCTTCGCCCAGACCAGCGCCCCCTGCATAGTCAGCTCCCCCGGCTCGCTCGGTATCTCGATCGGGCACCGTGCCGAGTCTACTGCGCTGCCGCGGCGAACTTCATCGCGCGCCTCCACGTCCACTGGGGCGATCGCCCGGCGGTCGCAAACTATTCCATACTGGGCAGAACCCGCCACTGACGTCGTTTGACTCTGCGCCGTTTTGCCTCGCTCTTGTCGCCTGTGTTTCTCCTCGGCCGCCGTCGAATATGCGTGGCTTCATCGGCGAACTTGCAATGTCCACATCGCGCAATCGCTCGCAAAATGTCGATCGGTATCGCCCCGCGCTTGGAAGTCCAGCAGTTCAACGCCGAAATGTCGCAGGCAATCGTGATAAAGACTCCCCGTCGATGGTAGCATCGATCGCCTTCCTCTTAATCCTTGACCGAGCTCCCGATCCAGTAATGTTATCATAGGCCGACGTACAATCGATGACACGCGCCGAGCCCCTCCCGTCAAACGGCTCGCCTCGACAAGTCGAATTAAACTCGCTATCCATCGCCTCCTGCAGAAAACTCATCATCATCATCATCATCATCATCATCATCATCATCATCATCATCATCATCATCATCATCATCATCATCATCATCATCATCATCATCATCCCATGGCGCCCCACACCGTCGGCCGAAATCGGAGCCTCTCCCGCAAGCGTCACAGCCGCAACGCGTTCCAAGCGACGCGAACGCCGCGCTTATAGGGTCCACGGGCTATCCTGCTCTCCGAGAGCCTCCTTGCCCACTGCTGCAATGGCATAACCTGCCTGGGGGCCCTCTCTGCTCTCTTTCGCACATGATGCATCCGCGTGCGTCGTGATCGTGAGCCATGTCCGAGAATTGCCGAGCCTGACGAATCATCGGTTGATCATTTTCTGGGTAGCCTGTCGGACTGCCCATGGGTTGCTGCTCCAAATTCACTTGCGCGGACAGGTCGAGGCGAGTCTGCGACTGCAGCCAGTGGCCCTCTCCCAGCGCCATCCTGCATGCTGAGATCTATCGCGGACTCAGCTCGCGCTCATCTGGCGCAACCGTCCCACCCCCAGCATCTCCATGTCCATGGCGGACTGCTCATGGGAAACGGCGATGCTGTAGTCCCTGCTCCGCCTGGCATGCGAGCCGCAGAACTCGCCCTCGTTGATCATCCACTTCCGAGAAAGGGAGCTTCCGCCTCAGGAACTTCTCGATCTCCTCGCACAGGTGCCCGGCGCCTCCTGTGATGACGTCGTCCAAGCGGGTGACCAGGATGCCCGACAGCTTCGTCTTGTCGACCCAGCAGCACACCATGCGCGGAAAATTCTCGACTGAATCAAGCCCGCCTCCTTCGCCACAGAAACGAACATCCCGCGCCAACGCGCGGGCGCCTCGCCAACTCCGCAGAGGGGCGGGCACGCCCGGACGAGCACGTCCCCGGCCACCTCTTGGACCCCCCCTGGCGGTCGAGCCACGCGTTGCGGACCGCCCGGCCTGTCCAGCTAGTCGCTCGCAAGGAACGCCCCCTTCGCGTCGCCCGCCTGGATCTCCCACTTGCGACTCGCGATTGGCCGCGACATCGCGGCCCTCGCATTCTGGCTGCGCCTCCGCGCCGCTCATCTCCAACAGGTTCGCCAAGTCGGGGTCGCCGAAGCCCTTGGCCGCGAGCCCCCCTCGCCTTGACCGCGCCGCTGTCCTTCTCCACCAACGCGCACCTGGACATCAATGCCCGATCTGGGCAGGTCGACCTCACCTTCTTGGACCTCTCAAAACTCAACACCGTCACCGCTCGCTTTTCCGTGTGTATCGTCGCCCACTCCACTGCCGTTGACTCGTCGATCTTCATCTTCACGCCAGGCGTCGCCCCCGACTCCTTCAGCTCCTTGCGACCCTTCGCGATCAGACAGGCCGCCTCCGGCTGCTCAACCCCGATCTCATCCGTCGCATCGATCTGGGCCACGCGTCCTGGACGCGCCCCTGACACCTTCACCTCGGGCAGCACCGCGCAGCGCGGCGGGCCCGCCGCGCTCTCCGCACGCCCGATCGCCGCCATAACCAATTTCTCCTTCTCGAGCACCTCCGTCGCCAGTCCTCCTCGTCAACCTTCGTCTGCGAATAGAATCGCTTCCCCTTCTGAACCCCTGCCGCCGCGAACTCGCCCGTAATCTCGCCCGCGGGGCCCGCCGCCGCCTCGGATGGCGCAGGTCCTCGCCCCCTGGCCTTCGCTCGGCGCCCCGGCGATCTCGATCTGGCGTCGCCCCCCCCCCCCCCCCGCACTTCCCGCCGTCGGCCCTCGAGCCGATCCACCTCCGAGCGGACATGTCCTGGCGCCTCCGCCGCCCCGACCACGCTCGCTTCTGGCTGATCCACTGGGCCTACTCATGTGGCGGATCCGCCTCCTCGATCTCCTCGGCTGCACTCGGCCCTTCCACCGCCGCGTCGCAGCTGATATCCGTGTCCGGCGGCAACTCTTCCTCAGCGCACCCCGGCGACAGCCTCTGACGAAAGCAGGCCACCCCCAACATGTTCCACGAACGGATTTCCTCGCGCGACCCCCGTCGCAGCTCCCAGTTGCCCGCCGAAAGCGATGATGCAAAATGTCCCGCAGATAGCCCGCGACTCGCGCCAGCCCGCGCCATCTCGCCTCGGTCGCCCTCTTGGAGCCCCCTTTGTCCGTCCGCCAGAAGACCCCAAGAACTTTGAACACCCGACGTTCTCGAAGTCTCGCATCCAGCGCAGCTCGCAACGCCCGCTCGCCCATCGGCGCCGCCGTCGCCGCGCGGGCCGCCCGCCTAACGGCCGCCCCCCGCGCAAATTCCTTGCGCAGCGCCGCTAAATTCGCCGACGCCGCGTTGCGCTCGGGCTGCGACTCCTCCGACACGGGGTCTCCC